TCATTCTGTGGCCGTGACCTTCAACATCACTCCAACTGCGCCCGAATGTTCAGGATCTGGCACTTCAGGTGATGCATCCTATAAAAGAATAAAGACGGAACACTGAGAAATAGAGTAGCTTTTACATCAGACACTCTGTACCACGCAGCATATGTAAACAGGATCAATACCGAAAAACAAAGAAACAACAACAAAAAACAAAACAAGAACAGCTTCTCGAACATCTCGCACAGAGGCAGAGAGAAACCAAACGTCGAATGAGAATGAGCGGGACGCAGAGCGTCCTCGCGGCACAGCGACGGGGCGGCCGCGGCAACCCAGCACGGCCGACCGCGTGGTCATCAATGCAACCCACCACAACCGTGTGGCCGACCGGGGCCATCCACCGTAAAAAACATCAGTTTCCGTCAACATTATTCCTTTTCACTTGATTCTACAGGTAACGGTGCTGCAGTGGATAAGGACACGAAGGACAAAGAACAGACTCCCACAACAGGCACGCATCCAGGAGCAGAAGGGGGTGGTCCAGTAGTACCACAGCCAACACCATCCACAGCAACAGCAATAGGAACAGCTGAGGAGGTGAAACCATCAGTGGAACCCACATCACCATCATCAGGCACAACAGCATCAGAAGCAACCACAAAAGTGCAGCAGCCTGACACACCAGTAGCACCGCCCCCGGTGCCCAAACCGCCGGACGACGTGGAGACGACATCATCTGGTGGGGAAGGACAGGCAGTTGCGCATGGTACTACCCCAGGCAGTGGAGGAGGTTCCTCTGGTCCCGGTTCCAATGGCCACCAAACCCCTGGTTCGTCAGGACCAGGTTCCACGGGTACTAGTACTACGGGTGGATCCTTAAGTTCAGGAGGTAGTACGAACGGTGAAATACAACCTAGCCTCCCCCCTACCTCAAAATCCTTCGACCCCAAGGATCTTATCCCGTACACCCCCGCGATCATTCCCGCGGTGGTTGGTATTGGGGTTATTGCGTTCTTCCTCTGGAAGGTAAGTATATACGACAATGAGGGAATCCAGCATTTGCAGGATGTTTATACCTCAGAAACTCCCTACGCGCACCAATATATGATGTTTCTAACGAATATACTGCTACACCCGTGTTCATTCCTTTTATCCTACCGTCCTCACCCTGCTCTTTACCCCCTTTTTTTGCTTAGTACTTTGCCTACCTGGCCAAACGACGACGAACCTATCGAACCGTGCGTGACGTGCCATCACCGCCACTCGACGAAGAAATATTGGCGCATCTACAACGCGGCGAGCCGCCGCCACCCGATTACGGGTA